GCTGTCTATTAGTAGGACAGCAGCTCAGGATTTCACAGACTTTGATACAGTTTTTTGCTCTTTCATCTTGCTTGACTTCCATATTTGATCATTTTTCTCCTTGTGCGTCTCCATTGTTCCTTGGATTCTTGTGCATCTCTTTATTTATAGTATGCCTGGTTGTTTTTGGTGATCTTATAACCAGTATGCTCTGCATTTATACAGGTCAATTAATGATTGATATTAGTGTTTTAACTTTTGCCCTGCAGAGTTGGTTGTGGCTCGAGTGACGTGCGCTGCAGCACTTATCTAGATGTACAGGATGAACTAGATGAATTTCTGAGCTATAAACTATGCCTCTGTCCTACATCTTTGTTCCACTTTCTACTTGGGCACTCAGTGTTCTTCAGACAGCAGTGTAAAGCAGAAAGACCTGGAGCCCTTGACCCTTACTTCCTACTGTTTTTTAAAACATTTAGCTGTAAAAGCTCTCAAAATTCTGGTTTTAGATCCATTTCCACTTGCTGGCTAGAAATAACGGCAATAACCCAGGATACTAAACTGGTATAGAAGATTTTGAAGATTAAAAAAAAAAATAATGTGAAGAAAAAACATCTTGTGTTCACATATAAAGCAAAACTTGTAAACAGGGCTGTGCAGCTCAGTCAATCTGAAATTTCATTTTTATCATCATAAGTTCCCTGATGGAAAAAAGTCAATCAAATATACCATATTTTTATGGGAGAAACGATTTTATCTTGTGCAAATAAATTATTGAATCATTGAGAAATACTGAAAACTCCACTGAGTTGTTTTCAGCCACAAAACTATTAATGGAGATGACACTAATAGGATTGCAGTATATGATATGCATTCCTGCGGTACTTTAAAAGACATGCTGAAAAATAAAAGGGGCATAAATTGCACACTCCTAAATGGGGTGAGAGTGGTGTTGTAGCTGCAGTGGGACCAGGAAATATACAGGTGAGATGGGTTTTGTGGTATCTTTTATTGGATCAGCTGTATAGCTGGGGGAGAGATCTCACAAGCTTTCAGCCATATACTGCCCTTCCTCCGGTCTCCAGTAGAAGATATCACATTTCTACATGGCAGCACAATGCCTTACTCTTTGGGGCATGCAGCAGGTGACAGATCTTGTGAAAATCTAGTACTTGGAGATTTAGAATGAAAATAGGCTGAATTACTGTGTCTTGTCTTGAATCATCAATGCAGGGATTGGCAGCATAGGGCCCATTGGCTCAAACCTGTGGAGCTGGTGGCATTGCACATGCTGGGCTTTAGCTGGGAGGCTAGGCAGGGTGAGGAGTGTTGTACGCACCATGCCACAGCCAGGCAGCCAGATGGTAGTTTTGCCCACATGGTGGCTGGATGGCTGAAGTGCTTTGCCCTTGCCGTGTCAGGGAGGAGCAGTGGCAGACGGGTCAGGTCGGGAGCACTAGCTCACCTGGGACCTGAGCTGGGTTGATCTGACATGTGGCTCCAAAACCTTGCCAGCTGCTGAATTATTGTAATGTCATTAGCCAGCACTAACGCCTCAAGTTATCCTGTATATTCTGCTCAGGTGCCATTATATTTCCATATGCTTCATATAAATATTATCTCTATAGGAGATTAATGTGATAAATGTGAGCTTTGTCACATGCATACTTCTGCATGGATTTTCCTGTGTTTTCTTGATTTGTGTTTTGGAGATATGCAGACATATTCATCCATCACAGGAAGATTGAGGTACTGTAGGTCATTGAACGCCAAATCAGCTGCCTGTTGCACTGTTTCTGCACTGTGGTTTCTTTTCTTCTCTTAAAGTTCTGCAAAGCACTCGTGTTCCTTTTTATCAGGAAATCTTATGCTGTGTGTGTAACCCTGAAAAAAAAAAAACCTTTATAAAGTTCCCGATACGTTCTTTAAAATGCAGTCTCTGGCTATGGATGAACAGAACTTTTAACTGCTTCAAAAGGACAAAGGGAGTTGCTTTTAGGAGTTTGCCTCAGCCCTTATGCTGCAGCTGTGTTCTCTGTATGTTCCTATAGTGATACAATGAGCCAAATAGTCATCAATGTAACCCTGAATGAAAGAGAGCTAAAGTTGCAATGGTTTTGCTACTGTTGTAGTACTACAGGAGCACACAGATCTAAGTTTAAATCTTGGGGTTCCTGATCAACTGCCTGTTTTCATAACCACACAAGCATTGGTCCCGATTTAGTATTCAGTGTTTTACTCTACTTACCGTTACTTGTCTCTCCAGTGCCAAACTGCAATTGATTTCTAGCTTTTTCAGTCACGGTGGGTGGCCTTGAGTTACTGTTATTTTTATTGCTTCAGTGTGGAGTTATGTATGAACATCGATTTAGAGGTTAAATAAATAATGGTGTCACGGTTTTGTTTTTTTTTTAATTTAGGAAATGAATCACGCAATGGCCACGTTAAGATTTTGTTCACTCTTTTGTAAATCTTGAATTAGTTTAATGCTCTTTATATGTCTTTCAGCATCTTTCCTGCACTCAGTACAGCTTGTTCAAAAGCTGCTTTTGTGGTTCAGGACTTTACATTTTGAGAAGGGATCTGTTTAATAATGCACAAGCAAAGATATACAAATCTTACTTGAGGACACTTGCCGGTGTATAATACCTGTAGGCACTGATGTGAACAGAAAAGAATGACATGGCACTAGACAGCTGGGTCATTGAATGCATGGGTGCCCTCAGTATGATGTAGGGGCCATAAGTCCATAATCTAGGAGGCTTAAAGGTGTTGAATTTTTAACTTATGGGATTCTCGTCCTCTTTGCTTCTGCAAGCATTAATGCAGCTAATAAGAAACTACTAGGCTTTGGAGAGTTACTTTTTTACCTTAAGCAGCAGCAAGACTGTTTGTCACACCAGGCTATCAGCAATATGGGGACCATAGAGCTGCAGCTGCCTTTACTGAGAGAAGACATTGAGAAAAAAGTTCTAGGCATGTTAAGGTTATGTAGAGCTACTCTGAATCTATAGACTTTTCAGCTTCTCTCTATAAACTTGCAAAACTTCCATTTACATAGAGGAGCTGAAAAGTCTATAGATTCAGAGTAGCTCTACATAACCTCAACACTGATCTGCATTCTTCCTTGGTCTGGTCAGATGGGAAGGCTAGTACTTAAACAGTTGACCCCCTGGTTTTTTGGCTACCTTATGTAAAGCGGGGACATTTCTTTAAATTACGTATTCCACTTACCTGATTGCTGGTCTCCTGTTGCTGAAAGAAAAGTTGTGCCATTATTTTGCTTCATAAACTTGGTTCTAAAGTTTTGTCTGTACTCAAGTAATACCATGTTCATGTTGGCAATTCTTCCAATATTTTTCATTTTAAATACAAAGCCTCTTTAAAGCTATGTGAAACTTCAGAATTGGAAGAAACCATTCAGAGAAGCAGCTGGCTCAGTCTTGGGTACACAATATCAGATCATATGTGAAGTCACTCATGGTGATTATTCACACGTAACTCAAATGGCTGCTCCTGAGAATCGGAATCCTAGTATCTTCTGCTGACAGGAGCTTTGCCACAAAATTGATGGATCGTGAGTCATGGATCTGATCCTTCAGGACCCTGCACTGCCTCCATCCTCCTCACCAGCCCTGCGTGCTGGGATCAAGCCCTGTATGCACCATTTAGCCCATGAGGGTCCCCACAGACTCATGGGGAGCACCATAGACTGGATGATGTGGTGCCTGGGGCTGGATCTGGTCTGTGGGGTAGGGGTTGAGCATCCCTGGAGCAGAAGCAGCTGAGAGCCAGAATACACTGAGATCAATATGTTTCCCAGGTGAAAACAAGGAAAAATATAAGCGTATAAGTGACAAGCGTTTTTTTAAAAGTTTAAGGTTGCTACAGCCGTGGTTGCAAAAAATAGTTGGGACAGGGCCACAACCTTCTGGAACGTATGTGGATATCCAGGAGCCTACATTTTTGTTTCTAAGTTTGGCAATCAAAGATATCTTGCCATCTCACAAGTGTTAATTCATCCAAATGGACAATTATCTTCGAGATCTACGCTTAATTAAGGGGGAGAAGGGGTATTTTGATTAGACTTTATGTTCAGAAAGTTTAATGTAAAGGTGGTGATTTCTACAGTATGAAAAAGAATTATAGTCTGTTTTATGTATTTAATTATTTTTAGAGCTTTACTTTTTTTGAGCTTTGACACTTTTTGGTCATTTTATTTACAAACTGGCAACAAAGCTGCATTAGCTTTCTGGTAATCAATGATATACCACAGTGCATGTATTCTTGGAGACCCAAGAAGGTCCTCTAACATACCTGTCTTGAACTTCTTAATATTTCCAAGATTTACATATAATAAAGCTCCAGCATTCAAAAATGCTGCATCTCCTCATAATCTTACCATGTAATATATCCCAGTTTAACCACTAAAATGAGCTGTCCAAATATAGACCCCCATCCCCAAGCTACATTTCATTTTTAGTAATTGATCACTATGCATCGAGCTGAAACGTAAGTAGACTAGAAAGGAATAGTTGTAAACTGGCAAGTAATTCATACAGGAAAAAGATGTTAATCAAATCTTTCACTTCAAAGTAATGTTTTAAGATGAAATAAAAATTATTAGTAGATACAATGTAAACCTAAATGCAAAATGTTTTTTTCCTAAAAATGTATCTTCATCTTTACGTTTGGTTTTTGTTCTGTACCTTTTTCTTCTCCTGAGTTCAGTCATCACAATATGAAATCAAATGCTTTCTTCGACATTTTTCTTGAGCAAAACTGTCTTGTCATTATTTAGTAGGGTTGGGGTTTTGTAATTGTGATGGTTTAGGGAATAACCTGGAAGCAGGGCTCTTTTTCTGGGGAGTGACAACTCTTACTGACCAACTGTATAATGGGGAGAGATGTTGGATCTGCTTCCTGGCACAAATTGATATTGATTATCATTATTTAGCGTTTACACTTTTAATTGCAATTTCACAAGCTTATTTTCCCATTTTCTGTTTGTTTCTTTCTAGGCTGTGCTCTACAATGACAGATCAGTCCTAGAAAATCATCATGCTGCCGCTGCTTGGAGTCTCTTCTTATCTCAACCAGAGTATAATTTCTTATCTAATCTTGATCACGTGGAATTCAAACGGTTTCGTTTTTTAGTGATTGAAGCAGTCCTTGCCACAGATCTCAAGAAGCATTTTGATTTTCTTGCTGAATTTAATGCCAAGGTTTGTTATGCAAATAAATACAGTCAGCATTTATTGCTCAATATGTATTGCTGTTAATAAGTTAAATTTTAATAACCTAGAATTGCAGATATCAATACAGTAGTAGGAGAGGCAACTAAAGTATCTTATACATTCCATTACACTCAGAACCTCTAAATCAAGCTGTTTAGTGTATTCAAAAGTACTAACATACTATTCCATTCTGACATGCTTTCTATATATTAATAGAAACCTGTCAGTGGAAGCTTAGTGATTTATACTTTAAAGTATTTTAACACAAACAGACACACACACTCTCACCCACCCACCTGGCTCAAAAGCTTTGAATGATTAGTTTCCTAATGATAGTGTGTGTTCATAAATTTAATATCTACAATAACCTCTTTAATTTGCACATAATTGGAAAGTTGAACATCCTGTACTTAGCCTTTCAATCAGAAACATTTTCTAGATGACAACTTCAGAGTAAAGTTATGTTTAGAAAATAATTGAGCATTGCTGAACATACATGAAAATCATGACTTTAAGAGTTTTAACAGTGGGGGAAAGATATATTAAGATTGTTAATAGTGGAATGTAATAACTGTACAGGAAACTAATATTGTTTTCATTTGTTTTGATTTCTTTATCCTCCGAGGTGGATACCTGCTGCTAGTACTATCCCATAATTGTGTTTTTAAAAAAAAAACAAAACGTCTTTTCTGATTACATAAGCCATAAAATGATACAAAAAAATTAATATTAAAGTGCACTATTGTGCACAGGTTGAAAAAAGTGTTAGCATTAATGTTTAGCTGCAATTTACATGAGTGTTCAACATGACTTTAAAATATCTGCTCAAACAGGCCAGTGATATAAACAGCCCTGGTATAGAATGGAGCAATGAGAACGATCGCTTGCTGGTGTGTCAAATATGCATCAAACTTGCAGATATTAATGGCCCAGCCAAAAGTAGAGATCTCCATCTGAAATGGACTGAAGGCATTGTTAATGAATTCTATGAGCAGGTGGGTATGGCAAGTATGAATTTTTTTTAAGTAAATGCCAGAGGGATAATGCTACAAAGGATTTACTAGTTAAGAATTATTCTTTTTTAACCCTTTTAGAAAAACTGTTTCTTGCTTCATCTGCTGTATTTTCAAGTAACTTTTTATAGGTAGTTTATTTATTTTACTTTCTATTGGTTGACTTAAAAGCTTCAAAAAAAATCTCCTACCAATTTAGTCCACTTCTCAAATAGATAAATTAACTTGGTTGATGAATATGTACGTTGTTATAAATTCTGCGCATTTCTTAATAAATTCAACCTCGGTGGTAAACTGCATATGTAACCTCCTTTGGGGGCTCCCTCCTTTACTTGATTTGAAGTACATAGGTGCTATATTTGAGTGCTTATTTCTGGTAAATATCTGGAGAGTTGGTTAAAAAAAATTTGAAGTTTTCCACAGAACATTTGCGTTTTCAGTCTGTTTCCCTACACAAGCTCTTTCTCATTTTCCTTTTTTCCATCTTACTTTTCTCCATTTCCAGCATCAAACTGGAAGGAGGAAAGAGAAAAGGGGAGAGAAAGGTAGGGGAGAAAACAAAGATTTATTTTTTTTTTCCATTTTGTTGCCAAAAAGCTAAAAAATTTCATCAGAAGCTGAAAGTCTTCTCAAACTGTTGTTCCATCAAAAAGCCATTTTATGTTGATAAAGCACATTGATGAAGAATTTGATCAGTGTTGTAACTTAGTTGCATAGAATCCTTTTAGGTCAAAATTCATATATGTGCACCACCTTTTACCTCTGATATCAGTATAATACTGGGAACAATATTTGTGAATTAACTACTGGTTTAAAGGTGGCAGAGAGAACAGAATTTTTAATGGATCCTAAAATATTCAGTAATGACTTTTGCAGTGAGAGTTTTTGAAAAATAAAGGTAGATTTAAAATGCAAGGAAAGCTTTAGTTAATGCAAGCTTTATTTTAATATTGCAAACCTAAAGGCTTATCTCTGAATAATGCTATTTAAAGATAAATAACATTTGATCGGGGAACCATTGCTAATAAATATTTAGTCACCAGTCATTTAAGATTTATATAGTCTGAAAGTCTGAAAATGACTGATTTTGTTCTTACAAATGTCAACTAAGATTGCCATAACTGAAAGTAATTTGAGAAAAACAGTTATTATTTTTGTTTTTCCATCTTGTTGTTTTGTGTTTCATGGCCCTTTTAATATCAGCTTTACATTTTCTCTGTGCAGTTAGCTGTCCTCATTTGCTTGTCTGTGTTTGACATAACCACCAGTGGATTATTTTAGGCAGAAGTACCAAGGTGAATTGTATCTAGACTAGTGTACACTGTTTTAAAAAAAAAAAAAAAAAGCCTATGTACAGAAACTCCAATGGTACCAAGTCATATCTGAATTGTGAGGCAGAATTCTCTTAGTACTGTCATGAACAGTTATTCTCCCTGCTGACTTCCTGCCCCTGGGGCAGGGGGCTGGACTGGATGATCCTCTGGGGTCCCTTCCAGCCCAAATGTCTATGAAATCTTTTCAATTCAGTAAATTTATAAGAATCTTTTCTTACCCAGAAAATCACATGCCCTTCCCTTTTCCTTCCCTCTCTTGTGGGGGAAGTATCTTGGTACTGTGTCTGGTCAATAGCAGATTACTTCTCCACAAGCTCAGTAAGCACAGTCAGAACTCTGCCATCTGTGCAGGAGTCTTCCGCCCCCATGCCCAGGGCAGCGACCCAGCAGTACCACACATGAAAGTGATTTACTCCTCATTTTGGCCCACAATCTAGCCCTATGTATTGCAAGTTACCTTAGCTAATTTTTAATCCATTTATATCCTGAATAGTAGGTGCTGAAATGTATTGTTTCTGAGAGAGAGGGAAAACAACAACTTGAGGATAAGTCAGTTTTAAAAAAAGTTATATTTTTAAAATTTTCAGGGTGATGAAGAAGCAAGCCTCGGATTGCCTATTAGCCCCTTCATGGACCGTTCTTCTCCTCAACTTGCAAAATTACAGGAATCATTTATTACTCATATTGTTGGCCCCCTTTGTAATTCATATGATGCAGCTGGCTTGCTTCCAGGCCAGTGGGTGGATGAGGAAGATGATACTGAAAGTGCTGAAGATGATGATGGAGCACAAATGGAGAGTGAAGATGAAGAAATGGAAGATGATCTTAGTTCAAGTAAGATTAAGCTAGTACATAGGATTTTTGTCAAGTGGATTTGTATATGGCAATATTAGTTGAAATTATGCCTCAAAAACATTCACTATTTTTGCATTTTCACATGGGCTATTTAGTGTGTACATATATGTGCTATATAAACTGGACAGATGTTTCTCCAGGGAGAGTCTCTGTTCTCTCAGGAGAAACTGAGTGTACAGATATTCATATTTTTCTCTCAGAGTAAAGGTGGCCACCTGGGGGAAAAAATAACTTGGGAATAATTCAAGTGAATTGGTTCCTGGGATAGCTTCTCTCAGGAGACCTAATGTCTGTACAGGGAGGGGTTCAAAAGAGGCTGCAGAGACATCTTCTGGAATCTCTGAGCTTTCTTCCCTTTCCTATCCTCTTCCCCCAGGGCCAGGGAGAGGCCGGATCAGTCCCTGTCATACAGGAAGCAGCACGTGCCCCCTAAGTGCTTCAGGCTGTAAAAGCCCAGCACTGAAGAACATAAGGGGCATGTTCTGCTCCTGGCTTTCTTGGTGACCTGGGGTCTGTTCAGGACAGATCAGAACCAGCCAACCCACCTTCTGGATGAAGGAACCCCAGCCCCAACTGCAGCACTTAGGTGCTTGGAATTGCAGGTCCGTGTCTGGCTGCATTTGGGCTGGAATCTGGTTTGGGGCATTCAGGGTGGAGAGGCCTGTGCTCCGGAAGGGCACAGACCCACCCCCTCCCTTCCCTGACCTGGTAGACTATTTTCTGGGGAGCACAGCTTCCTGACAAGCTCAAAATCTTCCCTGTTAAACAAAGCCTTATCAGAGCAAGTGAGAGAGAGCGGGATTTTGAGCTGGAGTTCCTCAGGGATGTGGTCCCGAGGCAGCAAGCTAATTATTGCTGACCCCTGTCCTTGCTTGTGTTCACTGTCACTGGGCAGAAAAAGAAGCCTGCAAAGCTCTTTGGGATGCATGCTCTAGGGCAGTGTTTCTCAACCCATGGGCCGCTACCAAAAGTGGGTCACAAGAGTATATGAAAGGGTCATGAGCAAACTTAAAAAATGGATTCTCCTTTGAAGGAGAACAATGTGGGAAATCGTGGTTTGTTTTTTTTCCCCTGCAGGAGGGCTGGGGGGTTGTGGGTGAGGGCCACTGGGTCGGGACTGGCCATCAGTGTTTCCAAATGGGTTCTGGTACAAAAATGTGCAAGAACCACTGCTCATGAGAACCCTGGGAGCCCAGGGTCAGCACCACAGGAGCTGTGCTTCTCTGCTTCAACTTCTGTACAAGTTAGTTTTTCTGTCAAGAAAACAAACCTGGGAGATTTCTGCTGGATGATTTGAACATGTATATACAGCTGTAAGCAGGAAAAGAACAAAAATTTTGACTTAAAATCAGAAGAGAGAGAACCTCAGTTAGGACTGACTTAATCAAGATCTTAAAAGAAATTACAAGATTATGTAAAGATACAATCTCAATGTTTGTTTGTTAAAAGCATCCATTTTTACTTGCTAATTTAAGTGCAAAGCGTATAGCCATTGTATAAAGTAGCAGTCATCTTTGATCACTGTAGCATTCACCTACCCTGTATTTGATTCTGACTAGGATAAGAACCAGACATCCTTTTACTTTTACAGAACTACAAAGGAAAAAAGGCAGACGGCGAATATTTTGTCAGCTAATGCACCATCTTAGTGAAAATCACAAGATATGGAAGAAGGCAATTGAAGAAGAAGAAAAAAGTAAATCTGAAGTGAGTAAACCTCAGACAGAGAATACATCGTTACCTCAGACGGATAACATTCAGGTTATTGAGGAAGCAGATGAAGAAGATGAACGACAGCTAGAAGAGAAAACTTGTTGAGATGGCTTCTGATGGTATGCAGTACAGTGTCAGAAACCAGATTTTCATTTTTCACTGTGCTGACTTCAGACTGATGCAGTTCACAAAGTTGAAAGGCCTTAATACTGTGAGAGGATTCTTGCTGTTCTAGCAGAACCCCACTCCTATGCACTTTCACCACATGGAATATAGAAAACATTATTCAAAGACTGAATGTTGTATACCATGATGCAAAGTTTTTCGTGCCCTAGTTGGTGTAAAAATACCTTGATATGATGCTGCCTTGCTGAATATAGTGCTCTTATTTTCCATGAGGTACCTACAATTTTGAAAATTCAGTGACTTCACTCACCAAAGCAGCCAGAATTTTTTCTTAACACAGAAATATTGGGTGGATCCTAAAAATATTTTGAGATTTGGATTTCATATAGTTTTTGGATGCAAATGTGACAGAAGTGTCTGCCTGTCTGGACACCATATTAATGTTGCAGTGCAAACCTATTTTGGGGTGTCTAAATAGTGTTTGCTTAATGTAGTTATCTCAGATTGGTTTCACCATTCAGTGACTTTAACACAGAAACTAAATTTTCATTTTTTTTTTTTGTGGTTAAATAATCCCAGGTGCATCTTTCTGATGCTTTTTTTAAACTCTTATGCATAATCTGCCTTTTTATTTTTGCTAAAAATATTCAGGTTTGCAGTGGGTATTCACAACATTTTGTTGATTACAAGGGCATTATCATCTATTGCCTTATTGTTCTGTGGTAGAACATAAAGACCTGTTCAATTATTTTAATTTTGAAAGGATTTTATTCTTCTAGTCAATGATGCTATATTTTTCCACTCTTACTCAGGATTCATGTTTAAAAACATGTCAGACTTACCACAGCAGATTTTATATAATTTAAAAGCCTGCACCAATGTTAGATGTTAATTTTTTTGGAGAAGTAAGATCATAATTCATTTATTCTTTGTATGTAAAACTTCCGGGTAATTAAAGTTTTTTTTAAAAAAGTTTCCAAATGGCTAGTGTACAGTTTCCCCTGCCTTAATAAATCATGCATACATACACACATACCATAAATCATGTAAAACCACTTGTGTTAGAGGTAAACAACTGAAATGTTTTAGTAGTACCTTAAAAGAACAAGAAAACCTATGCATTCCTTGAATAAGTGTATTATAATATTGTCACTGGAATATCGGCATCTCTACATGTCCCATATTTTAATAGGCTTAACGCTCTCATAACACACAGAGTGTATACCCATTTTACCAAGATGTACATCCTAGTTGGTACATATGGCATGCAGACCATTACTATTAAAGTACATTGAATCTTAGGGTTTGGGGGAGGGCTGGGGGAAGGGCTAGGCTTATCAGGAAGTCTATACTTGGTACAAAATTATTACCAGGACATTTTCTTATGCAAACAGTAAACAAAGCTGGTTTTAAAATTGTGTGGCTTTTAATACCAAACAAATGTTTAACTTCTGCATAGTGAATATAATATTATAAGTCTAGATACATGTTTTTCATTCACCTTGCAGATGATAGCTAAACGCATCTGTATTTAGAGAGACATCAATCAGTTAAATAACGTAACTTTTCTACACTAAACCTAGTGTTAAACATTTTGTTACAGGGCATTTTTAATGTAATTCATTATATTTGGCCCATCTAAATCATTAGGAGAGGAACCTCTGAGTTAGTTTTTTCTTAGAGAGAACCTTTGCATGGGTCGTTTTGGAAAACTTATTTTTTTTCCTATGTATGTATAGTGTGTGTGTGTGTGTGTGTGTGTGGTGCCAAATTCTCCTGTTACAGCCACATCATTTTAACATACACACAACATCCCCAACAATGATTTATTCTAGTATACATAGAATCATAGAAAATTACAGTTGGAAGAGACCTCAGAAGGTCTAGTCCACCCCCTTGCTCAAAGCAGGACCATCCCCAACTAGATCATCCCAGCCAAGGCTTTGTCTTGCTGGGTCTTAAAAACCTCCAAGGATGGAGAGTCCACAACTTCTCTGGGTAACCTGTTCCAGGGCTTCACAACGTTCCTAGTGAGAATTTTTTTCTCTATTACCTAACCAAAACTTTTTACTGCTTGAGACCATTGCTCCTTGTTCTGTGAGCTGCCACCACTGAGAACAGTCTAGCTCCATCCTCTTTTGAACGCCCCCTTCGGGTAGTTAAAGCCTGCTATTACATCCCCCCTCAGTCTTCTCTTCTCCACACTTAATGCACCCAGTTCCCTCAGCCTCTCTTCATAAGTCATGTGCCCCAGCCCCCAAACCATTTGTGTTGCCCTCCAACTGGACTCTCTCCAATTTGTCCACATCTTCTCTGTAGTGGGGGGCCCAAACCTGGACACACAGCTCCAGATGTGGCCTCACCAGTGCTGAATAGAGGGAAAGAATCACTTCCCTTGATCTATTGCAGTGCTCCTAATGCAGTTAGGATGCCGTTAGCCTTCCTGGAACAAGGGCAGGCTGCTGGCTCATAATAAAATGTAACAATTTTAATAGAAAATTTAAACTTAGGGGTCTGCTGAAATGGAGGTGGCTGCCATCTGATTTCATAGGCAAATGCCCAGACTTGCAGCCATTTTTGCAGATGGAGCATAGCAGACCTCCTCCCCCACCTCTGATTGGCAGAGGGGCCCCACCCCTTGCCACTGAGGGCTGTCCATCATACGGCCCCGCCGCTTGATGCTGATTAGCCAAGAGGGCTGTCCATGTGGCCCTATACCCTCATGATTGGTGACAAGGGGAAGGGCCGTATGACAGAGCCCTCACAGCCAATAGGCAGCAGGGGGCAGGGCCAGCAGCCATCTTGCCATGCTGGCAGTCCCCCTCCCCTTCCCAGTGGGCTGTGCAGCCAGGCCACAGCAGCTACAAGGATTGCTGGCTCCCCAGAGGGATCCAGCATTTTATTTTCAGTGAGGTTTTTTTTCTTTTTCTCCAGGGAGTTGCTAAAAATGCAGACCCCTTGGTTTTTTGTGGGGCCTGCCCAAAGTTGCAGTTTCTGCAAAAATTGTGAAAATGCGATTTTGGTAGGTCCTTACTTTCACTACATGCTCACTCTTCATTGATCTCCCTGGAAGAACAATTGAATCATACTGTATTAAATGCTCAGTAACTTGTGTGTTCAACATTGTTGCATATAGGCGTGAGCACCAGCTTGCATACTGTTTAGCTTTGGCTTTGCATTAATTGTTAAAGTGGAAATGCTTTAACTTAAGGATGTAAATATGAATATGTTAATTAGTAAGTTTACTTTTGGCTCTGCTAACTAAGGCTATGCTTAACAGAATACTGCTAATAGGGTTGGCCTAGTAGGGTTAAAAAAAATTACCAGATGCTAAGAATTGGCAGTCTTTATATCTGGTGACAACATTGTCAGAGATTTTCAAATCTCTAGTGTCTCTATACTTAGTAGAGATGTAGAGCATCTTGTGGAATTAAAAACAAAACTGATAAATGTACATCCCTTTTGGTATGTGCTCACACAAAGTCTTTCCAAACTATATGAACTTTACACAGGGGCAGTATTTAATCATTAAAAAAAATTACATAAGGCCAATTTGAAGAGAGAGAGATCCAACAAGAACAAGTGGAGGTACTGGCATTACTGCTGAAGGTGAGATCAGATGCTATTTGAAAACATGGCTGTAATTAAAAGTGGAAGTGTTTCAATTCCCCTGTGATGGGATGCTTTTGAATATCTGGCTATGCTGTCATCAGTAATTATAAATCATTGGGTAAGACAAGCCAAACTAACATGAGCGTATTATCCTTCTTTCCATCTCAGCATTCCCAGTCCACTTCTGGCATCACTTCAAGACCACCAATTATTTACAGACAGTGCAGTTCATTATACCTGGTAAAAGGCACATAGATTCTCATTTTGAAGACTTCCCAATTATGAAGTGAGCTTCCAGAGGGACAGAAACTATTGGAGATTAACAATCTTTGGGCAACTTTGCAGCTTCTCCCACTTTGTGAATGATTTTTCACCATAAATGTTGGATAAAGAAATTCCTACAGCAGTCTCCCAAACCAGACTCCTAAAAGTTCCCTGTTCCCCCAAGCACTGCCAGGAGTGACCAGGAATAACGGTCACAAGCTGGCAGTGGGTAGATTTAGGCTAGATATCAGGAGGCGCTACTTCATGGTCAGGTCGGCTAGGGTCTGGAACCAACTTCCAAGAGAAGTGGTGCTGTCTCCTACCCCGGGGGTCTTTAAGAGGAGGCTAGATGAACACCTTGCTGGGGTCGTTTTGACCCCAGTACTCTTTCCTGCCATGGCAGGGGGTCGGACTAGATGATCTGCTAAGGGCCCTTCCGACCCTGCCAACTATGAAACTATGAAAGAGAGTGCATAGATTTTCATGAAGCCCCTAAGGGTCCTCAGTATGTCATTCTGGGAACTACTTTGATGCTACAATGATAGATGTCATAGAAAGCAGAACAGTATGTCTGCCATATAGATTACTTAAAGAGTTTTGACAACAGAGAGCACAGCTAAAGCTAATTTAGCCTACCAAAAACAGGGTAGCCCATAAAATAGATAAAATCTGAGCTAGATAACACTATAGAACAGGGGTTGGCAACCTACAGTGCATGGGCTGGATTTAGCCTGCAGAGCCTTTTCATGTGGTCTGTAGACATGGGACTTTGGTGGCATTTGGTGGTTGGGGGGGCCTTGGCAGAAGTTGCTTTCCCTGTGCCAGCATGGGCAAAAGCCCCAGCAGCAGGTGGGGAAAAGTGGTGTCAGCAGGAATGAGGGGGGAAAGATGCAGTGGCAACTGGGTCCTAATGGCTGCATACCCAACCTGAACTGAGTTAGTCAAGACCACAGCCTTAAAAGATTACCAACTGCTATTTATACAATATTCTTCCTATTTAGTCCATTTGTTTATGCTGAACGCTTTACAACCTGTCCTTGGGGGAATAGGGAGGCTAAGCATGAAAATTAACAAGACTTGTCTGCCAAGTATTTTTCTGCAGACTTTCTCTTCAGTGGACTCTTTCTCATTGCCTGCCTTTAGAATGAACAGAGCTAATACATAATGGGACTAATTCTTTGTATCCAGATAGAAGGAACAGCGTATACAGTATGATTCTAGGACCATGATGTCTCCTGTTACTGTTAGAAGTCTCTGGATGTTATATTTGGGTACCAGACCCCAGTCAAAAAGTCCTCTGTAAAACAACTGCAGGAAAAGTGCAGAGAGAAGCATATCCCACTGTACATGGCTTTTATAGATTTAAAAGCCTTTGATACAGTTAGTCCTGGTTTTACAGTTCTGAAGAAGTTTGGTTGTCTACCTAAATCTTGTGAAATCCTTACACAATGGCATGAAGGCAACTGTAATGTATGAAAACCAAGAGTCTAACTTGTTCAACATCAACAATGGAGTGAGACAGGGCTGTGTACTGGCTTCCATATGGTTTAATATTTACTTCTCATTCCTGCTTCAACATGTGTTTCATGATGTTCAAGAGGGTGTCTATCTCAGCACTAGACATGAGGGAGGACCGTAACACTGCAGGGTTCAGAGCTAAGACAAAGGTGAAGATCATCATAAAGGACCTGTTGTTTGCAGATGATGCAGCCCTTGTGGCTCAGTGTTGATGCCCTACAACATCTCATTACCAAGTTCTCTGACTCATGCAAAATCTTTGGGCTAGCAATAAGCTTGAAGAAGACTTACCATCAGAGATCCTAGTTTTCTCTGTTTAAAAATTGCAAATTTTCTGATTTACGCCCCCCATCCACGTTTTTTCCATGATTAAAATTAAACACCCCCCCCAAAACACTAAACACCTTTCATAACAGATGCTTACATAAAATTCTTTGAACAAGATGGCAAGACAGGGTGACAAATGTGGAAGTGTTAAATCGTGCTGGTATGTCATTCATGGGAATGTTGATTAGTAAGAAAAGACTCGGGTGACTTGGTCATGTCAAACAAATGCTGGATCACAGGATCCCAAAGAGTGTAA